GTCAATAAACTCTTTTATCATATATTTTCTGGATACATTAAATATTATATTACAAATAAGTTTTGCATACTGCCTAAAGAAATAAATACAAACTGCAAAGGAACCTTGGTCCTTGTAAAAGTTTCATAAGAAAGATTTTCATCAAAATAGCTTTAAATCACAGACATCTATTTCTATACATGATAATCTTTTTGTTTTCCCTCCCAACTCCAGTTTAATTTCAGCAAATATCAATCTCTTATGATAGCATACTAGTCATACACATAATACCTCTTGACTAGACACACAATTTACAACATATATGAAAATAATACATGAAAAAATGCACTTCATATTTGTGTTTACTTTGCCTTTAGTACAAATGTCACCTACTCTTCTATCTTAAGTAGACTGTGTCACCTGAGTTGTTCTGTATTACCAAGTTATATTACGGAATGATATACAAATATGTTAACAATCCCTTCCTTGGGTCCTCTTTTGGTTGTGTTTTTCTAATGAATTGTACCACTATGTGGATCAAGATTAAATCAACATGCAATGCTCAGTGATGACAAAAGTAAAATCCAATTGAAATTATGATACTACCTTTATATCGCTGAATAACAGCCAGGTAATAAAAAAACGACTAGTACTCAATAATTAATAAAGTTAAAATATTCTGAAGACACCATTACTTGTTATTTCAGTTTTGAATTTCAGCAGTCAAAATGTATTAAAATGCTCATTATTAAAATAAAATAGCATGTATGATAAATCAGCATCAAATAAAGAACCTAAATGTTAATTCTTGAGCAATTTTGTATTGCAATTGCCTTTCTCTTTAGAGATTTTTCATCAAAAGCGTTTTTCAACATCAAACAGTTATGTGCTTACATTAGTGTGTATGCAAATGCCTTTCTTCAAGTTTGTGCATCCTTTACCTAAACAATAAGGATGTTATTCTACTGTATAAAAATCTTTAGAAATTTGAAAAGCAATTTCTGTTCCATCAATATAATTATAGGATCCTAAAAACAGCACAGTAAAAATTATTCTACAGTTTAACCATATCAAAATGGAATGATCTGTAGTACTAGTTAAGGCTTTGTGTTCTGTTCCTGGCAAAAGGTATTGGAAGACACCAAGAATCGTTTGTAAGGGATATTCTGACACATCATGAAGGCTTACACAGTTATGTGTTAGGGAAAATTCTACTTCCTTCCCATTTCCTAATATTTTCATAGCATGCAGCTGATCTTTGTACCTTATGAGGTATTTTGTTATTGAAACTAAAAATTTGTTAGAGGACTTTACCAGAACCACTTGTTAAAAAATAGAGAATATGTTATACATTACAAAAGACCTTCAATAACTATCATACTCATCAGTTTCGGTACAAATTTAATATTCATAGATTTTTTTAAAATGTTATCCCTTTTCAACAACCTCCTAGTGTTAGACTACACACAAATGTGACATGAATGTAAAGGTGTTCTCATAAGGCATAAAATGTTGTACCTTCTGACATTAAAGAAGACAGTTGCTGATTCAAACAATTTGAAATATAATTAGTCAATGACTGAACTTCTAAATATCTATTAGTCCATTAAGATTCAAGAAAAAGATTTCCGAAAAGTACAATTAACATTATTCATCCCTAATCGTAATTACTAATTTGTCCATCGGAATACAACTAACACAATTTCCAATCCCCTTTCATACTTCCCATAGTAATTATCTGAATATGTAACTGAAAACCTTTGACATACACAATGTAGTACCCTCAAATGGGCTTCCTGCCTCTCCGTTTCTCCAAGCCCTAGAATTATATAACCCAATGTTTCGCATTATACTAAAAAACACATACACCTAAGATGATGTTCTAGTGCTTATAGGAAGGAATTTTTCATTTGGGCAATACTCAATCAAACCAAATTGCTGAAAAAAACTTCCACCATACAAGCTACTTACTTCCATGTTCAAAAAAGGACTACACAAGTTTTTAATTTAAGTAGGTTGGAGATGGTGCACACGAGACAAAGATGCAAGGAAGAGACAATAGATGTAAAGGAGGAACTCATGGAATGAAAGAGAATATAAACAAATATAACAAATATTCACTTTGTAGGAGTAATATTAATAGACAATAGTTTTGCGATATCAATAAGGTCCATTCAGTTCTGTGAATCCACAAAAGGTACTGATGACAAAAAAAATTCAGTTCACCATTTCTTTACCAAAAGGTGGATGTGAAATGTAATAATTTCAAATACTTATCAATATAACCTAATTTCTGGCACATAACCTACAAAACTACTAGATCCTTTGCCAAAAGAGCCTCTTTTGGTGTAACCTAAAGTCACATATCACAAGGCACTCTCCATCACCTAGAAATATGCAAAGGAAATATTTCTCCAGTGAATCCATAAAAGTACAAATAACTTCTTTAATACTGTTAGCATATATAAAGCAAAGAAGAGAAAAAAGGAATGCCTCTCCGTGGCCTTAAAATATTCTTCTA